GTAGCGTTTCTTTCTATAAAAAACACTCGCCGTCTTTTGCTGGCTTCTGAGGGAGAGGAATCGTAGTGCAGTCTATAAAGCCCACACAACCGAGGAAGCCCATGCTCCCCATGTGGCGTGATGACTTTCTCCGTTCAGCCGCACTTGGCCATCGGACGAAACGTCCCGCCAACTCATTTAGAGCACAAACAACTCGATCGGTGTAATCATCGGCAGTCCCTTTTCCAATTCCCCATAATCGCTTAGACCGACTAAGCGATGCCCCCGTGCCATAATTCCCGAACCGATCCAGAGCAACAACAAGCTGAAACCAAGCTGGAGCTTGCTTGCAATGTGCAGTAGTGGCAAACACCGGGCTGTCTCGGATGAGAACGCGCTGGAAGCTGTTTTTATCCATTCGCGTTATCACTCGGAACTCGGAATCCGGGGTTGAGTGAAAAATGTATCGGCGAGGAAGACAGTAGCTTTGGGGAGGCGTTCTCGGGCAACAAGATAGCGGGATGATTGCACTAGTAGAAGAACATCAGAAACAGCATCAACTTCAGAGAAGAGAAACTTCTCATCGTGGACCTCGGTATCAGCAGTGGATATGCCCAACGTGTCATCGTCTGCTTCCTCCAGTGCAGCTACAGCCAACACACTGTGGATCTCCCGTAGAAATCGCTGGCGATCACTAAGCAGGGATCCCCAAAATAAAATAAAATCGCTCTGGCGAATCTACTAGAAAATACAGATTTCATTGATGCTTCAGATTGAGGTAAATAAATAACTGGAATACTTGGAAACGTGCAGTAAATTATTACTACAATCGTGTTAGTTGACCTACACAGCCGTCGATAAACAAGAGTCCACAGTAGCTACGTTCCAGAAACTCGCGTTGACCTTCAGAAATAAGATCATTTCTAAGGTCAAAGGCGACATCCGGTGACGCTCGAGACGCAAGACCGCTCGAGCCACGCTGAAGAGCCTCTCCACGATGTTTGACGTCGGAGGGATGGCACTTAACAGCTTGTACCTGACAGGCTCCGCGGAAATCTTGCGGCGCTTTAGAATCTGGCGAGCAAAGCCATCCGCATCCGGTGGAGACGCTGGTGACGCGCTCGTTGCTGCCGCTTCGAGCTGACGGAATGGCTCCAATACCGTTATCTCCATTGCCGTCAACTCAACCGTTTTCCCAGCCAATACCTTGACCACAGCTGCCTCAAAAGCCTGCGCGTGAATGATACCTGCATCTGGAGCTAGACATAAAAAAATTAATACAAGAATCCAAAACATTTCAAATAAAAAACACTTACCAAGGTACTTGCTCATTGAAGGACGAATCTCCAACAGACCATCAAAAAGATCCCTGGCATCCAACAGAGTAAGTCCGTCGGACTGTAGCATCTTGGAAACGGACTCAACGCATCGAAGCTTGGACAAGAGCTCCTCTAGCTGGCGGTGTGTCGTCCGGGATGGCAACATGTCGGCCAGCTCGTCGTCGTCAGCTGAGAGGAACTCCCTCAGCCTGAAGTAGCGCTTCAGCATCGAGAATGTCGAGGCCCAGCGCGTGTCCTGACGCATAATTGGTACCAGCGGCGTTTTGAATCTGTACCAAAAAAAAATCACAGACCAAAAAATAGTATTCCACAATTACATTAACAAAAATGAATTGGATACAAAAATACAGATCACGGTACCTCAGCTTTGCGGCTTGCTTGAGGGTACGTAGCTTGCGCATTAACTGCTGAACCTCCTCTAGTGCGGGTTCGTGCGGAGCCAGGTAATCTCGAACCGCGAGGTTAAGTCGGTGGCTGGCGCATCCGACTAGCGGGACGCCCATGATGTTGGCAAGGCGCTTGTTAACCGAGCAGTTGTCCCCAACGAGGAACTTACACCCCTCAATAGATTTCCCAAAAAAGGGTAAAAAACGCTCAATAGCAAGCAAATGCCCATCCGCGGACAGCTGATCGTCCGGTTCCTCCATTATTGGAGCCATTGATAAAAGGGGGTAGCATGGCCCGTTGGGTTCATCGTAACAAGCGTAGACAGCCAGGAAGTGTTCCGTTCCGTGGCTCCAGCCATCGAGCATAAGCCCAAACTCATCGGGCATCTCCTCACCAATAGACCGCTCTACAGCCTTGGTGAGGTCTTCCATGTTAGACACCAAAGTTCCAACAGAGACGGGCGCCAAGTTCGTATTCCTGTTCAAACGCACGTATACGAAATTAGTTCAAATCATAAATAGTCCGATAGAATTTGTGTACTTACTTGCGCGTCCAACTCGACTCGCAGAAGTTGAGCGGCAGATTGCCCTCGACAACCCACTTCAACCACGCGTAACGGTTCGATGCCTTCTGGCTCACCCAGGGAACAAGTGTTCCAGTCGCAGCAGCGCTCGCGTCACGCATCTCGCTCTCGAACCTTGGTTGCGACGCGCGAACGTGCGTCACTAGGTTAGTGTAGCCGCTCCGAGGAGCGTGTTTACGCCGTTTGCCACAGGCCTTGCAGGCATGGTAGCCTGTAATGTCGCCTTCTTCGTCCAGCACGGGCTTGAAGAAGAAGGCGGCAATTTGCCTTGGTGAGAAAGGCTGAGTTTTCTGAGTCGTATCGACGAGATTGGCGAGCATGGCAGGTATTGCGGCGTGTCGGCAGGATGGCAGAGAAGTGGCAAATTTAGAAATGCAAACGAAGTGCTGCGGTCAGTGACTCTCCGGGAGTACTTGGAAGCTGACTGCCAACGCTTTTGGGTGGTGTAGGCAGCTTGAAAATTAAGCATTACTTTTTCAGAATTGGTGAGATCAATTATTTGTGACTGACCAAATATGTGCAAAATAAGTAATTGTTTCAAACAATACAAAATTATTTTTCCGAGTATTTATTTTTGGGCATCCCTGGTGACCATGGTCTAAACGTCGAATACGACGCCGCTGCTCTACGGCTGCTCGGAAGGAGGCTGCAAATCCGATGGAGGCGGACAGAGGATGCATAGGAAAGCCGCGTCTGCAATGAGAGCACGTGAGCTCACTAGTGGCTGCTTCGGAAACTTTTTAGTAGTTTCTTTCATTTTAAATCCAACTAACCCTTCCCTTCATCATTTTGTGGGTGGGTGGGTCGCCCAATATACCCAAAACCCAATAAACCAAAATCCGACTTGAGAATAATGATCCTACAGTTAGCCCAGCTCAGTAGTCATCAGGAGCTGGAGCCCCACCGCCGCGTGTCATTGAACACGCAGCTGACGGTGGTGCAACGTTCGCTCAAGGATGGCGCGGAAGCTGCGGTGCTGGTAGCGGATGTGCAGTTGGTTTCCCGGAAGCTGCCCATCAAGCTGTTCAATGAAGGCTCAGAGCTCTCTTCGGCTCTGCTGGCGGCCTCTTCTCTGTGTGACGAGCTGACCCAGTCATTACGTCATTTCAAAGTTTTGTCTCTTTCCAAAGTTCAATGTCCGCTTGCATGGGGAATCTGAAGGAATGGAGAATATCGGTCTCTTTTTTTTTTATCAGATTGAGAACGTGCTACTCCGTCTTCGAGTGCAGGCGTTCACTCCTGAATCTGCAACGCCGAGCGCAAATCTAAGCATGGGTAAGGCAGAATTGTTTGGTTTTTTTCGACTTTCTCATTTTTCCCTAAATTGAACCAGCACGAAAGCATTCCGCAACTCCGCCGCGATCTCATCATTTTGAACTCCGTAGCAGGCGCCTGTCGCGGATCGCTACCACGGTAGGCGATGCTCCTCCACCTCAGGTCGGCATTGTGGCGGTATGTACTGCCCGGCTACGGTCTGAATTATTTTATGATCAATAATGCTATTATGATAGCAGAGAGCACGTCCCGTCGATCCTATTCTATTAATTATGTGGCATCTCAACATATTGCGACTTTCTGTTGACGCCGCCAGCCATCTGGATGTCGCCAATAATGTCCCTCCTCACTGGATGTCAGCGCAGCCGCCAAACATCATCATGACGACTTTTACACACGACCTATGCTACAACCTCAGGTAGGTGGACGGACAACATAATTCTGCAGTCCGTCGACGAGTTTACGCATCTCGAGGTAACCCGACGTCTGACCTTCCTTACAGGGCGACTTTCTGCAAGCGGCGGCAGCACGGTTTCCACAAAACCAACCGAACCAACCGAACCAAGGAATCGTTACACTGTATGTCATTCGGTCGGACAGACGTCAAGTGATCACCATCCGCCGAATGGGCCCCCTTCTAAAATGGGGGCTTCAAACCCATGTCACATTTCTGAACGGGGATGCTCCGGGGACGATTTGGTGCGACCAAGATGATAAGCTGCTAAAGAACTCGATGGATCTACAACCGGTAAGCGAGCTCACTGTAGCTGATGCAAAACGTCTTGGGGTCTTTGAGGGCATGAAGGCGCCACAAAAGCAATGTTTGTATTGTGGAGCGTGCGCTGTTCCTATGGCAAGAAAAACATTTCCAGTTTGCCTTTGAGCATTACTACACGCTACACGCTGACCGAGTTCGATATCTAACTGCAAGGGGCTGTTACCCACAAACCATTGGGTGTTACCATGCAATTAGCCACGTATGTACGGAAGGTACGTATTGTTTGATCGACCATGATCATCTTGGGGGAACGGGGAAATTTTACGGAATTCTGGCGAGATCCGGACCAAAAAACAAGGCGGTTGGGGGTTCACGCACTGTAGTTTTACAATAGGGGCTTCAAACCCATGTCACATTTTTGAACGGGGATGCTCCGGGGACGATTTGGTGCGACCAAGATGATAAGCTGCTAAAGAACTCGATGGATCTACAACCGGTAAGCGAGCTCACTGTAGCTGATGCAAAACGTCTTGGGGTCTTTGAGGGCATGAAGGCGCCACAAAGCAATGTTTGTATTGTGGAGCGTGCGCTGTTCCTATGGCACGAAAAACATTTCCAGTTTGCCTTTGAGCATTACTACACGCTACACGCTGACCGAGTTCGATATCTAACTGCAAGGGCTGTTACCCACAAACCATTGGGTGTTACCATGCAATTCGCCACGTATGTACGGAAGGTACGTATTGTTTGATCGACCATGATCATCCTCGTGGACGGTGTGATTTTACGGATCTGCCGCGATACCGACCATGACAAGCTGGTGGTGGTACACGCACTGTAGTTTTACAATAGGGGCTTCAAACCCATGTCACATTTTTGAACGGGGATGCTCCGGGGACGATTTGGTGCGACCAAGATGATAAGCTGCTAAAGAACTCGATGGATTTCCAACCGGTAAGCGAGCTCACTGTAGCTGATGCAAAACGTCTTGGGGTCTTTGAGGGCATGAAGCCCCCACAAAGCAATGTTTGTATTGTGGAGCGTGCGCTGTTCCTATGGCAAGAAAATCATTTCCAGTTTGCCTTTGAGCATTACTACACGCTACACGCTGACCGAGTTCGATATCTAACTGCAAGGGCTGTTACCCACAAACCATTGGGTGTTACCAAAAAGATTCGCCACGTATGTACGGAAGGTACGTATTGTTTG